TTGTTTAAAGTCATGAGGGCAAGCTCCAGAAGAATTAAGAGTAATAATGTATCTAATTAAATCAGGAAGTAGAGGTGGGAGGTCATGTAAATTGCCTTAAGTCCCACACATTTTATAGCCAAGAGTCAACAGATACTATCTGCTAGGGGGTGACTGACTTTAAAGATAGGATGGCTACCACCCAAAGAACTAAAATCAGAAACTGTTACTCCAGAGAATGAAAGGAGTTGAGGAGAAGAGGGACAAAAGCTTACCTTTTGTACCCTTCAAGACTGTCTGAATTATTTTATCTACTTTATCATGTGTATCCATTTCTTCTTAATATAAGAGCTGTATTTATTATCATTTTTTAAATTATGGTACATCCATAACAGAATAGTATGTAGGACTGACAATGGTAATAAGTACCTGATATATTTAAATCAGAACCACAATTGTAAAAAGATATTAATACGATTCTGGTTGTATGAAATTTTATATACATATTTGTATATTAATTGAAACTGCCTGAAAGTATATTCTATTTGGAAGATTTTTTTTTTTTTTTTTAGAACATACTTTTTCTTCTTTATTTAAATAGTTAAAAGATCTTTAAGAAAATCATATATGAGGATATACATTTTGTGCATAGTTTGCAAAATAGAGGATTATTAAGGGAAATATAAGAATATTCTAGTTTCAAATAGATAAAGGTTTTCTGCGTCAGTAAGAACTTGACATGTTCTCAGGGGACAATTCAAAAATCACTAGAGGTTTAAAGCAGGACTATGACATGACTAGTAGTGTAGTGCCTAAGGCACTTGACTGCTAATCAGAAGGCTGGCAGTTCAAACCCACCAGCCACTCCTCGGAAGGAAGATAGGGCTGTTATTGGACCAAACGCTGGTCCCTGCCTGGTGCGCAGTCAGGTATTTGGAATATTTTTTATTATTTTCAACAATAAGGAAGTATTAATTATACAATTAAAATACTCTTTTTTTTTTTTTTGTAATGCAAGTTCTAGTTACTCTTCAGAAAATTTTAAAGTTTATGAGAAAAATTAGCCATCCTTCACAAGCCTTTTGGTGCATTTCCTTCCAAGTGTTTTTCCTATGCATCTGACTGTATAACTATAGGCAGGAAGCACATCTGAAGGGGATCACCTAACTTCTCTGTACCATTTGCACCACTCGGAGACTTGTGGTTCCTTCCACACAGTTTCTTGTATGTAGTTCTCTATTCCAACTCGCGGCGACTTCATGTGTGTCTGAGTGGAACTGTGCTCCATACGGTTCTCAATGGATGATTTTTCAGAAATAGCTTGTCCGTTTCTTCTAAGGCGCTCTGGTGGACTTGAACCTCTGGCTTTTGGTTAGCAGCTGAGCATGTCTGCACTGCCCAGGGACTCCATTCCCCATTTCAATTAATGGCAACTTCATCCTTACAGTTCCTCAGGTCAAAAACTACGGGTCAACCTTGGTGCCTCTTTCTTTCTTTCATCTTGTCCAACAACAAATCCCATCAGCCCTGCCTTTTTGATAAAACCAGAATCTGGCCACTTTTCACCACACCTGGATCTCTGCCAGTTTTTCCACTGACTTAGGAGCTTGTCCTCACTGCTTCCAATTTCATTCTTGGCTGTTACTCACCTCCTTGCTCACAGTGTCACGCACAGCTTCCAGACCTCAGCTGCCACACAGGCTCATTCCCACCTTGGGCTTTTGGTCTGCTCCTCTCGAAGATATTTAGGGGAAACCCCTTACCAGCTTCAAGTCTTTTCTCAAATCCCAGCTTTTCAATGAGGCTTACCCTGATTTCCCTAATTAATTATCAAACCTTCCCCACATGCCTAGTCCCTCTTATTGTACTTTTTTTTTTTTTTTTCTCTCATAGCACTTACTCATCATGACCCTGTATGGCACAGAACTGCCCCTGCAGTTTCTAAGGCTGTAAGTTCTTATGGAAGCAGACCACCTTTTTCTCCTGTGGAGCAGCTGGTAGGTTTGAACTGCCAAACTTTTGGTTAGCAGCCACATGCTTTGATCACTGCACAGCCAGAGTTCCTTTATTACCTTTTAGCAAATTAAATATATATATTAATTACTTCTCTTTCGTGCCATCTGTTTCTTCCTACTAGAGCATAAATGCCACAATGGCAGAAATCTTTGTTCAGTTCACTGATGTATTTGAAGCACCTAGAATGGTGACTGGCACATAGCAAATGCTCATTAAGCATATGCTGGATGAATGGATGAGCCGTTTTCTCATCCATGAAATGAGTTTAATAAGACCCACCTCACATGTTGTCATGAGGATCACATGAATAATTTATTTCTAATAACTAACATAGCAGGGTCACCTAACTTCATTTATGGGGGTGAAGGATGGCATCTGAAGGAAGTATTTCAGCTGAGACCTAAAAAGTAAGCAAGAGCTGGCCAGCAAGGGTTGTGAAGATGCTGAACAGGTTTCAGTGAAGCTTCCAGACCATAAGGCGGACTGATCCACTTCCAAAAATCAGCCAGTGAAAACCGTAGGGATCACAAGAGTAATTTACAACCTATCACAGAGCTGGACACAGGACCGGGCAGCATTCAGTCACATGGTGCATGGCTTCTCCATAGTCGGGCGGACTTGAGGCAGTTAACAAATAGCGAGACATGGGGGAGAATGTTCCAGAACAGCTTGTGAGAAGATCTGGAGCCAAGGTAGGAGGGTGAGGCAGGTATAAAATTAATTCTGTAATGGCTGGGGGGCAGAGGCTAAGAAGAGAAATGAGGCTGCAGAGGTTTGGCAAGGCCAGGTCCTCAGAACCCTGGAGAGCTGTGAAGGGGCTTGGGCTAAGTGCAAAGGCTTGGGAATGATCCCATGAGCACATTGACATGGTCACCTCTGCCCTGCTAGGGAGAATCACTCTGGCTGCTGTGTTGAGAGTGGGTGGGATGGGGTAGAATTGGGGGCAGGGAACCAGGTATAAGGCTTGGCTGTAGCCCAGGTAACAGAGAGGATGGCCTGGGACAGAGCAACCTAAAGCAAAGAATGTAATAGGTGCATAAGAGGGGAGGGACAATGTGCAAGGTTTGGGGACTAGTTCAATGTGGAGGTGAGGGATGAAGATAGCCAGCTGAAAACCAGGGTGGATGGGGTGCCAGGTATTGTTATGGGGGCTCTGGAGGAGAGGGTTTGGAAGTAGAGGGGTGCAGTGGGGATGACAGGAAAGGGGAGGGAGGGCTGACCTGAAATGATGAAAAGAGCAGGGACTCTGGAGCAGACATAAATGGGTGTGGGCCCCAGCTCTGTTGCTTCCCTGCCTTGGTCTTCAAAAAGTTAACTCCATAAGCTTATTTCCCTATATGAGTAGTAGGAAAGCATCTGCTCTGCTGGGTTGTTCTGAGAATTAGTGAGAATGTCCATAAAACACTTAGCAGAGCTTGCCTGGTGTCATTTCTAATGGTGAAAGTGAAAATCTGTTATCCCTCACTTGAAAATGTTCCATAGCTCATTCTTTCATTAACCAATCACTCAAAATTAACACTATCAAGAATAATGCAATGGTGGTGTTTATGGAAAACAGAAATACGGAAGGCACTGAACTAGGTGCTGAGATACAAAGTGTTAGGAGACTCTGTCCCAGGACTGATTGCTCAGTCCCCTAAGCAGACAGTTGCGAGTATGACTGGAAGTGGTGGGGGCACTGTGCCAGCCAGGGACATCTGCACCCTTCTCACAATCAACTCAAATTCTTTAGCCACGTGAACTGGCCCTCCCAGCTACCTTTCCAGTCCAGTGTTTCACGGGTCTGGTCTTACTGTCCTTGTTTTCTTTTTTTAAAATCTGTTTCATGTTTCCAAGTCCTTCTATACACTTTTCTCTCCATAAGGATATGCCTTTCCACTTTTGCTAAGTAGACACTATTCACTCCTTGAAACATTCATAATCTTGTTTGTCACTAGCACTGGGAAGCCTTCCCTGGGCTCTCCATGGGCCAGGTGGTGCCTCAGTGCACCCATAGCGCCTCTGTGTCGGGCTCTGTGATGACATTCTAGAATTTGGGAAATGCCGATTTATATAGTTCTCTTTCCTACTTGTTCTGGGTTGTTGGGTGCAGGGTGCAAGGATCTGGACTCATTCACCTCTGGATCCCCAGGAGTTCCGTTCTGACAACATGGTAGGACTTACCTGTGGAGAGGCCATAGGGCTCAGTGAGCTGGTGTTGCTTTGTGTCCAGGTACCAGATGGCCAGTTTGTGGTGTCTAGTATCCACATTGCAAAAATTCCAAGAGTCCTTCCTAACCAATGTCCACTGTCACAGCATCCATTGCTGCAGTGGAAGGGTGGAGGGCAGGATAAAAGGCCACCCTCTCTTTAAAGTGGGGGAGGGAAGGAAGTGATGAGAAAGGGGGAGTGAGGGTCCTGGTGGGGAGTGCCCAGTGCCCCCCGACAGGGTGATGCAGACTATCCTAAGGGTAAGGAGAGGAGATGGATAGACTCAGCCTGGATACTGGTCCCTTAAGGGGTGTTCTTCCCACACTGGTGGCTCAGGCTCAGCCCTCTGTGGCAGTCTGCCCTGTCACAAATAGGACCCAAGGCAGGGAGCAGGGGAGAGGATCCTACAGCCTCACAGCCTCACGCTCTTTAAGTAGGTTGCCAGCTCTTTCTTCCGAGGTGCCTCTGGGTGGACTCAGTTAGCAGCCAAGCGCTTAACTGCCTGCACCACCCCAGACTGCTGTTTTTTTGCCATCGAGTCAGTTCCAACCCACTGGCGACTTCCTGTGACAGAAAAGAACGGCACCTGTAGGGTTTTCTTGGCTGTAATCTTTAAAGCAACAGATTGCCAGGTCTATCTCCCTGGGAACTGCTGGGTGAATTCAAACTGCCAGCCTCTTGGTTAACAGCTGAGTGCTTAACCGTTGCACTACCAGGGCTCCCTAGTCTCTCCTTAAGGAGCAGGAAACCCCTAGAACCCCAGCTACTGAAAGCCCAGAATCTTTGATTCAGAAAGAGCTGAGACAGAGGCCTGGTTTGTAAGAAATCTGATTATTCAAATTTATTACCATCAAGAATTATGCAATGATGCTGTAGTTTTTCTTAACAAATAGAAAACAGACTGTGTACAACAGTGAACTCTACAGCACTAGCATCCACAAGGTAAAAATGAATGTTTCATCCAACATTACCAACCCTGGATTGTTGATCTTGACTGACCCCAGCTAGATTTGGGGATGTCTGCATCACATCCCTTGGCTACAACAGCTATGCACCCTTCCCCGCCCCCACTTACCTACCTAGATAGTGCTGCCCAGAGGAAGAGGCCCTCTCCCTGCCCCTCAGCAAGCCGAGATAATAGGGATTGATTATAGTACCATTAAAAGAAGTCCAGTAGTCTTGCCACATTGGTTTATGAGGGCATCTCGAAGGAGTGGAAAAGAGTGATTCTCAGGGGCTTTGAAAATAGCTGCAAACCAGGGAGGGAAGTCATCTGGCCTCAGCTCTGAGGACAGACATGTGCTACCAGGCCCACTGGCCTGGACCGGAAGGGCCGGCCATGCCCCTGCTGGGCCCTGAGGTGCGCGGGGTGAGGCACACCCCAATCTGTGCCAATCGCCTGGGCCACATGGCCAGGCCCAAGCCTCCAAATACCACACATACCACACACAATACTAGGGACAAAAAAGCAAGGCTCTGCAGCCCAGAGGGAGAACCCAAGGGGCCCAGACCCTCCCCTTCTCAGGTGTTTGAAGGAGAAACCAGGGGATGACTCTCTTTTTTCCATTCTTATTTTGTGTGTGTGTTTTTGTTTTTGTTTTGTTTTTGCTTTTTTTAACCTCTGCAAACACGATGGTGATGAGGACCGCCTTGACAGGCTCCCCCAGACACATCTCTGATTCTGGGTTATGAATGTCAGACACATACTGGAATAGACGACTGGGAGTATTTTCTACATCCTCCCCGCCCACCGCTGTCCATGGGGTCTATACAAAGGCTCTGAAAGAAAAACAAAACAAAACAAGTGTTTCCCTGCATTTGGATCATTTTAAATAGGATTTTCTGGGAAGGGCTGGAGGAGCAGTGGACCTGTGCTGCCTCCTGGGCCCACAGTGGAGCCTCTGCTCAGGCTGCAGGCCTGGCCCCTGGCCCCACATCAAGGAGGGCATGTTCTGCCCTACTCCAGTAAGAGCCATACAAAAAGAGAATCCACAGTGAACTCAAAAAAAGGAAACAAACAAAAAAGTCCCAACCCCCACAGTGGTCTATTCTGCAGTTAAGGATTTGCAAAAGGAAAAATCAGAGGGAAGAGGCTAGAATCCCTCAGTCTATCCCACTTAACGTATAAAAAGGGGGCTTTGCCCCTGTCCCCACCCCATGAGAAGAAGCATGAGAAACGCGGCAGCGGAACAGAGCTCGAAGCAGCCTCCAGGCGGGTCTGATGGATGGAGGTGGATCCGGCACCTGCCTGCTGGCCTGCTACCCACTGCCCCGGGGTGTTCTATGCTCTCCATTTGGTGTGGCAATGTTCCTGAAACGCTGTGATCCCGGTGGGCTATGCTCTGCCAGCAACAGCATCCGTGCAGGAGGGCTGGATGATGGTCGGTATGGCTCAGAGGAGCTGGTCCCCTCCGGAGCCCCCAGGTGGGGGTGGCGGAGGAGAGGGGAGCGTTAGTTACGTTGCATAGTGGTCAAAGCTGCCGAGGTACTCCAGGGCTGCGCGGTAGCACAGCTGGTACTGGTCCTGTCAGGAAAGGGTGGGGGCTAAGTCAGTGTGGGCAGCCCCAGTGGGCACACCCAACCCCAATCCAGGGAGAGTATCTAGATTGCTACCAAGACCAGGTGCTAGACCCAGACAGCTGTCCTGACAGAGCCTCAGAAGGTTCAACTCTCTTCCTGTCCTCTCCTGGGCCCTCATAGCTGCCTGCCTTCCCCTGCTGCCCCAATCATGTTTATGTTTATTGTCATTTCCCCACATGGGCTGCTATGCACAGCCCCTAGCCCAGTGCCAGGCATACCACTCAGAGTTGGGTTTCTTTCCAGAGTTGCTGAATGAATAAATACATCCTGTTCATTTCTGCCCTGAGCATGTCCTTATGTGTCTAACTGCACTAGGCAGCAAATGGCTCTGGTGGAGTCTGTGTACCTCTGTCTGCACCATGGCAGGACGCTGTGTGCGCAGGGTCTTCACGGTCTGGAACATGTCGACCACACCCTCATAGCGCATTCGCTCCAGGACAATGCTCAGAGTGATGAACACACCGGTGCGGCCCACGCCAGCACTGCTCAGGGACAGGGTTGGGTCAGGAGTCCTGTCCACCTCAGACAGGTTTGCCAGCCACTTGGGCTCACCCCAGACCTGCATGGGGACAGCCTCACCTGCAGTGCACTGTGATGGGACCATCCTGCCCAAACTGCTCCTTGGTCTTATGCACCTGGCCAATGAAGTCAATGAAGCCCTCGCCCGTCTTGGGCACACCCTGCTCTGGCCAGTCTGTGAACTGGAACTGTCGGATAGTCCTAGACTGCCCGTCCTAGTAGGAAGGTGGGTGGGAGGGGTACAGGGTTAGTGCCTGAAGCTGCAGCCCCACCAGGCCAGGCTGGAGTTGTACAATGACAGCCATGCACCTGTGGAGTTGTACACTTGAGGTTCCCTGGGCAATGTGTTCACACCTCACACCCAACACACGTTCCTGAAATGAGGTACCAAGTAGGCAGCCCCCCACCCCATGTGAGCTCAGGCCGTTTCACACCTGGGTGTGCAAACACACATACCCTCCTGCCAACACTCACCCGGGCATCTGTGACCTTGAACTCACGGAGGATATACTGTGGCATGTTGTATTCAGCCATTGGGTCAACCACAAAGTACTGGTAGCGAGCAGAGCGCTCTGCTGGCCAGTACTGGTGGCACTTCTCCTGTGGACAGAAGACATGGCCACCATGTTCAGGTGGGGAGGAAAGGGGGAGAGAGGCTCCAGGTTTCAGAGGATTTTGGAACGGGATGCCTGAGGTGGTGATAGTGGGGGTCTGCGGCTTGCTGCTGGGAAGCTGGGAGAGCAAAGGACTTCTCTCCCAAGGATGGCTGGTGGTCTCCCACGGTTGGGGGCCTTCCCAGGCTATGATAAAGCCCCACTGGGGAAGGGGAAGGCTCACCCTGCCCATCTCCCGAAGTTTGGTTAGCATGACGATGATGGTGGAATTGTGCTCCCATAGCATGCGCCAGAAGTCCTCGGTGCTTTCTGCCAAAGGCCCTTGAGTGGCTATGTAGGCTTTCTGCTGTCTGGTGGTAGACACAAGATTGAACATGCCAGAGCTGCTGGGCCCACAGTTTTTCCCCCAAGTCACCCCTCCTCCAGGAAGCCCTCACTGCTCTAACCCAGCCCACTCTGGTCTTCTGTGGTAGGCAGTCAAAAGTGTGCTGACCTATAGCCATCCAGGAAGCTGGCGTTGATGTAGTCAGAGCCCTCCACGCCACGGATAGGCTGCAGACACACGCGGGTCAGCTCGTATGGCATAATATTCACCAGGCGGTTCTTGAACTTGTTGCAGGGCAGGTTGGCGCTGATGAAACGGGATGTGTGGGCCTTGGAGCTGGCCAGCAACTGGTGAGAGGGAGGGCTGGTCAGGCCCAGCTGCCTGGGGATCATCCCATGGCCCAGTCTAGACCCCTAGAGTCCAGCCAGAGCCTCCCCAGAACCCCACCTTGAACTCAAGCTCCATGGCAGTAACACTCTCCCCAGGAGGCACTTGGCCCAGCTTCTGGATGTGGGCATAGAGGTTGCGAGCGGGCACCTCTGTGTGCCCACACGTGGCTGCTTCCAGCAATGCCTCATGGATGAACACGTACTGGTCCTCTGTCTGCACCATGTAGTTCCGCTGTGATCGCATGCATGTCACATGGCCGTAGATGTCAACTGTCTTCTCATGCTTCATCCGCTCCAGCATGGCATCGATAACGATGAAACAGCCCGTGCGGCCCACGCCCGCGCTGCAGGACATGGGCTCAGCTGGAGCACAGGTCCTCCCACCCCAACCACCCTCTTCGGGGGCACTGTACTCCTCACCTGCAGTGCACCACCATGGGCCCTGCGTCCAATGGGTTGCAGGACTTGACCCGCCGCAGAAAGGCCAGGATAGGGGTTGGGTACTCGGGGACCCCGTGGTCTGGCCAGGCCATGAACTGGAACTGACGCAGCTCCCGCTTCTCGCTGGAGCCACTCTGGGGAGGAAGGTGGGGAGAGATGATGTAACCAGCAACCTGCCTGCTGCAGACTTAGACCATAATGACCCGTCACTGAGGCTAGACCCACTGGCCTCTGATGAGACTCAGAAATGACATAAGGCAGCTTGAAGATGCTTGCACTGCTGTCCCCACACATTCCACCCATGCCACAGGCCACCCACACTGATTTATACACCTCTAAGCCACTGACCCTCCAACACATGTGGCTCCCATTTTCAACCCCAGCACAACATGCCCATGGCTCTGCCCTTACGGGGCTGGGGGTGGGATATGAACACTTGGGAGGAGGCCATACCTTATGGAGTGCAAAGGTGCGCACGGTATAGGTGGCCAGCTCCACTGTGTCCAGCAGGGTCACCTGAATGAGGCCATAGGTCTCAGTGCCACGAACCGGCCAGTACTGATCACATTTCACCTGCAGAGGAAGCAGTAGGGTAGGAAGGGGGTAGAGGGGATATTTAGAGGGTATCCAAAGTATAGCCTCCCTGACTACAAGGTCTCAGCCCTGAAATTCCAGATCCATTGTCTGTCCCCCACGCCCCAACATGCCACGTCAGGTCCTTGTGCTATGTCCCCACCCTCGCCCTAGCTGTGGAATAAGGGCCATAATTGAAAATTATTTATTCATGACCAGATCACACCAGGCACATTTTCTGCCAAATTTACCCATAACGTTTATGCGCCATTTTCAAGCTCTGTAAATTTTATGTTCCAGTCAATGCTTTGCAGTGCAAAAGCAGATAGCAGCTCTTTCTACTAATTAACTTAGGAGATGTGTTAGTGCCCCAGGAACACACCAGCATCTGGGGAACATGCCAGCAACTAGGGAACATATTAACATTCATGGAAAATGGCAGCATCTGGCAAAACATACTACCATCCTAGGAGTCCACTAGCATCTGGGAAACATGCTAACATCCCAGCAACACGCCAGTATCTTGGAAACATGCCAATATTCAGGAACATCCCAATATCTGGAGAACATGTTAACACCCCAAGAAAACAGTGTTTGGGGAATGCCTTAGGGGACTTCCTCCCCTATGGACAGGAGGTGCCCAAGGTCACCTGCAGGATGAGTGTCTTCCACCCTTCCTCCTGGCAGGGTCCTGTAGTCTTACCCGGGACTTTTCCTCCAGCCGTGTCATCATGACAACAGTGGCTGTGCGCTGTTCCCACACCATCCGCCAAAAGTCACCCATGGTCTCAGGCAGCGGCCCCTGTGTGGCAATGTAGGCATTCTGCTTGCGGTAGCCGTCAATATAGTTGGCATTGATGTAGTCACTCCCAGGGACACCTGTGGATGGGGAAGGACATGGGAGCACATTATCTCAGGGCCTCTAGCCCAGCTTACCTCCCCTTAGTGCACCCCAGGACTCGCAGATCTCTTCTGTAAGACAGAATGTCACCCCAGCCAGCAGGGAGATGGCTTACCATCGACGGAGGTGAGGATGACTCGAGAGTGGTCATAGGCAATGACATTTGCATAGCGGTTCTTGGGCTTATTCACCTCCAGGTTGGAATTCTCCCATGTGAACTGCTGTCCAGGGTCAATGGACTACAGGGGAAGAGAGGGCCAGGGGGTGTGGGGTCAGAGCTGAGGTCTACCTACTTTCCCTAGGGGGACCCTGCCTTGTCCCCTCAAGCCAGCCCTTTTGTCCCCTGGTGCTGTAAAGAGTCACTACCACTTCCCTGGCCAGCCATGGGGCTCAGAGGCTGCCACACCTCGGACCACTCCCTGTTGGGAAGGGGCTGGACCATGGACTCTTTGACCAAATCCCCTTACCCAGTAAAGTGGTCTGGGGTAAGGTGGTGACAGGAGACAGGTCCCTCAAGCTCTACACTCATAATGAAACAAGAGCACAGAACAAGGTAGAAGCAATAGCAGTCAGCTGTGAAGCCCCAGATACTGTGAAGGCTGGACACCAATGCCTTGCCTTGCCTGGCACTCCTCCTCCATCTTGGCTGTCCCTTCTCTATCTCCTCTCCTTTCATCTGCTTTTCCTATAGACAGGACACAACTCCTCCAGGGCTCATTCCAGGGCCCTCTTCTCTCATTCTGTTGCCTTCCTGGGGTGGCCTCGTTAGCTCCTGAGATTCTGACATCCATATGCTGGAGATGCCCAGAACCCAGCTGCAGCCAGAGCTCTCTCTTGAGCTCCAGATCTGAATACCCAACAGCGCCCTGGACACCTCCACCTGGAGGTCCACAGGTCCTTCAAGCTCAACCCTTTCAAAGCTGAGTTCATCAGCTCCCCCTTCCTCTCTTGCTAGGACTCCATCTCAAATGAATGGCGCCACTGTCCATATATCCAGAAGGCCAGGCCAAAACCTAGAAGTCATCGTCAATAACCCCTTGGTGCCCCTATCCAATCAGTCACCATATGCTGGTGTCTCACAATGTCCACAGGCCACCCACCCAATGACAAAGGGCTTTGCTAGAGATAGACACACAAAAGCAGAGACCCTATCCTATCAGAACATGTGGGATGCCTGCCTTAACCCATGCTATTTTCCGGTTCCTTGCATGGGCCTGGCATAAGCTCCTCTTCAGTAAGTGATCAGTGGACAAACACTACTCAGCTCCTCCAACCTGCTGTCACTGCCTGCTCCAATCCAGAGGCTGCAACGCCCTGTCTCTTGCCCCACTTCAAGCTACTCTTTGTTCAGTAGCCAAGAAGAACTCCTCTAAAATGAAGACCTGAATATCAATTTCCTGCTTAAATGTCTTCCATGACTCTTCATCACCTCAGATAACAATAATGGTAAAAACTTAGTCTTAGTGAGAATTTCCTTTGTGCCTGGCCCTGCTCTAAGCATTTTGCATGTATTCCCTCATCTAATGTTCATGAGACAGGTTCTACTGTCATCGTCATTTTATAAAAAGAATAATCTAAAGTTCTCAGCCTAACACATGGGCATCCTCATATCTGGGCACCAGCCTCATTACTCTCCAGAGGACCAGTGTCACTAATGACTCCATTAGACCCATCAGCACACCCCAACCCTGCTCCTGTTCTGGTGCCACCAGCCTACCTCTTCCACGTATTGTCATAGTAGCATACTCCACGTTAACGATCTCTCTGGATGTGTCAATCCATTATTAACATGCCAATGGGGGAGGTGATATTTGGTTCCATAGCCTCAGCATTCAGCATAGGGAATGACACACAATTAAGTGCTCAGGAAATGGGTGTGGAAGACTGAATGTTAAAGATGATGGAGTGACAGAATCTTGGCGTAGGAAAGCACATGGCATGCCTGGGTAGCTTCTTGGAGGAGGAGGGTTTTGTTCATACAACAGATAGGAGCAGAGAAGTGGGTGAAAGATGGAAGGGTGAATGCTATGAGCAAAGGCTACTAGGAACCTAGATGGTACAGAGGCAATTTGTCTGAAGGATGGGCAGGCATGGGAGATGGCACCAGATGTGTATGGGCAGAAGACCATGGAAGGCCTTCCCTATCAGATAGAGGTGAAGGCAAAGAGCCCAGCTTGCAAGCTTAGTTATCCCTGCAGCATGGCTTTCTGCAAACCAGGGCCCCAGTGGGCGCTCTATAGGTGGAGGCAGCATGGTCTCCTCATGGCAGACATAGTCATCAGTTTGCCTGGCAAGCTCAATTTCCTCATTGGACTGGAGCCTACCTGGCTCACAGCCCTTCCTTGGAATGGGAATCCTGCTCCCCAGTGATGTGTCCTCCAAACACAGCTAAGGGTAGACATCTGACTAGAAGAGGAGCAACCAGCCCATCAGTTTATCTGTCACCTACTGAAGGGAAGCTGCCAGGCCTGTGTGAGGAGCTGGGAAACAGCAGTGGACAAGGCAAACACCCCACATATGCTTCTGAGAGGACGAGGTCTCTGCTTTATCACCACCTTCTCTAATAAATCACTTCCTTAGCTGGGTAAGTGTCCTGGGGACATTCTAAGTCATCCCAGTTGTGGATGGGATAGAAGCCCTTAGAGCCCAGGCCAATGGGGCATGGCTCTCAAGTCTGAGCTGTAGGCAGGCAGAAGCCAAGGCCATAGAGAGGTTAGCATGGAGAGGGCCCTGAGCCTGGCCCTCCGCTCATGGAGTCCCCAGCATCCCCATCTCTATGATGCTTGCACTGTGCCGATCTGAGTACACACATGAACGCACAAATGTGCAGGACACAAGGCATCGGGCAGGCCTGGGTTTGAGTCTTGGCTCCACCAGTCATTAGCTGTTTGACCTTGGGCAAATCACTTCTCCTGGAGTCTCGGTTTCTTCACCCTTAACACAGGATCATCACAGTGCCCATTTTGTGGGGCTGTGGGAGGAGGGCACGAGATGATGAACACAAACCATCTGACTCAGTGCTGGCTCAGTCAGTTCCCGAGAAATGCCCACTATTACGGCTATTATCATCAATCTGTGTCTGTCATTCTATGTCTTTGTCTGTTAGCATTTAGGCATGTATCTGAGTGTCTAGACCCAGGGCACTCAAAGCCTTTCAAAGCATCTCCTGAGGTGACCACCAGAGGGTGCTCAGAAGGGTCTCACCTAGGCTTAGCACCTGAGAAGCCCAGTCTGGCCACAGCTGACCTCTCCTCTCCGTGTTCTGGCCTAGGGTCCACAACTGACAGCAGGGACCTCAGATGAGTCCCCAGACCCGAGACAGGACAGGGGAGCTGGCAAAGGGCTAGACTTGGGCCAGGCTGTGGGAGGGGCTGGGGACATCTCACCTCATACTCCTGGGAGAACTTGAGGCCATCGTTGGCTTTGAGGCGCTCAATGTTATCTGCCAGGTCAGTGATGGGGATGGGCGGGTGGTCTCGCATACCTGGGGAGGGAGGCATACATGGGCAGAGTTAGCATGCAGCTCAAGGTGGGAGGCAGAGCCAGCCCCAATGCATGTATGTGCACATGTGGACACGTGTGACCATGGAGCACTGGTGGCATGGAGACAGCAGCACATGCGGCGACAGGGGTGGTGGAGCACACAATGGCTGGAGGGTAGGAGAAGACAGAGGGAAGTGTGCTGTTAGCATGTGACGAAGACCAAGTCCATGACACGGCGTTGAGTGGGGGCACCAGGACCCGACTGGTAGGTGCAGCTCAACAGGGATGAGAGGCTTCCTCCCTCCGCAGCTGAGGCAGGACAGGAGCACATCTCCCGTCACTCTGGAGGCAGGGGGCTCTTCAGCCTGCATCCACCCCACTGGCCTGACCCATGCACAGCCCTCCTGCCCCTCACTGGCACCAGGGGCCATGAGAGAGACTCGGTAAAATCACGGTCCCAAACCCTGAATGTGTGGATGGAGTCTTCATGACAGTAGAGACCATGGCAGAGCAACAGTGAGAGACAGAGAGGAGGGATGTGAGAGACAAGGGGACAGGAGGGCACAGAGCAAGAGGTGTCAGACTGAGAGCAGAGGTGAGAGAGGCAAAGAGAGGGAGCCAGGGGCCAGCAAGAGAGGAAACCAACAGCAGTGGAGGAAGCTAGTTGGTGCAAATGGGGGACTGAGAAAGAAAACAATAAAGAGACGGAGAGAAAAGGAGAAGGAAGGGGAGACAGATTTCAAGGAAGGAAGGAGACTAGGGGGTGAAAAAAAGGAAAGGAGTGGAAACAGACACAGAAGCCAAAGTATCCCCCAAACATGGGAACTTTGAAAACTAACTTGAGATACTCGGGCAACTGGGGGCACTGGAACCTGCAGAGAAAAAACAAAGACAAAACAAAATACGACGGGGCAAGAAAAGAGCATGTTAACCTTTCTTTGGTTACGTCACAATCAGACACAGTACCTGTGTGTGTGGGGTTAGGTAGGGAAGAAGGCTGAGATGGCTCAGGAGGGGCTGGCAGAAGAAAGGGGGAAATAAGGGGCCTAGGGCTGTGGGCCAAGTCCTACCCACCAGCCCCTTCTCCCTCCCAAATAACACGGCCAACAGTCCCTCTCTAGAGGAGAGTGCTCCCATCCCCATGGGGCCTGTGCATGACAGAAAAGGAGGTCCAAACCAACCCTTTTCTCTTCTAGTATCAAATCTGGCCTTGGTTATTTTAGAATGACTTGGTAAAGGGAAAGAAAATTTCCCCTAAGTGGCAAGAAATTAAAAAGTCAATCGCCATAAGGGATATATACACACACTAACTGTACTACAGGCGCTCTGGTGGAATGTGGTTAAAATCTTTGGCTGCTAACCAAAAGGCTGGCAGATCGAACCCACCAGCCACTCTGACAAAGATGTAGCAGTCTGCTTCCACAAAGATTTAAAGCCTTAGAAACCCTATGGGGCAGTTCTACTCTGTCCTATAGGGTTGCTTTGAGTCAGAATTCCTCAATGGCTGTGGGTTTTAACTGTACTAGTCTTTCAGCTTTTCTGTGGGTTTGAAACATTTCCAGAATAAAAATTAAATTATGAAAGAGAAAAATAAATGTTTGCTGAACTTAAAAATATAGAGGAAACCCTCAGCGTGGGAGAGTCCTGCCATCCTCACTGACCACCCCTTTGTCCCTGGTTCACTGAACACTCTGGTCCTGGCTGGCAGGTGTGTCCTCTGCCAAGTGCTGCCATCACATGGCGCTGTCCATGGCCACAGGGATGCCTCTCCTTGCCAGGGGCCTCTGAGTTCTCTATCTCTGTACTTGTAGAGACCTTCATCATGTCCTTCCCCTGACCCCTGGGCCACAGCCTCCTGTCCTTCTGCCTCCCGACCCCTCCTCCTCACATGTGGCCTTTGCCAGCAGTGAAGGCCATTATGCATCATCCCTACTTTTTCTCTTCCATTACCGTTGTCCTTCCTCCCCTGTCCTTACTTTTCCGCATCCATCTTAAACACTAGGGTTTACCATGAATCCATCTGACTTCATCTGTCCCTGCCCCCAGCCACAGAGGTTCAAGGTCTGATCCCTGGGCCCTAACACTGCTCAGCACCCACATCAGGCTACCACTTTTCTCAAGTTGCTCTAACCACTTCCTTCTCGAGCTTGGGGCGAGCAGGTGAGAAAAACCTGGGGCCAGTAGGTGAGAACTCCAGCAGTATGTTCCCTTCTCACCAACAACGCCATCTGCCTCCCATCCCACCTGGCCTAGAACGCAGAGGGAGAGGCATCCCTGCCCATCCCCCTAGCCCAGGTTCAATCACACCCCACACCCAGTGCTCTGGACCCCAGCCTCTCAGGCTGTTGCTCTGCCACCCAGCATCTCAGCTCCACACCACAGATACCTCAACCACTGTCCATAAACGATTTCCATTTTGGGAAAGAGAAAATGCCTTTCTGGATCCCTCACTCCCCTGCACTCTCTTGCTATGTTCCTGCATCATGGCCTCCACACTCTGACCTCGAAAGAGGCTGCTCCAGAGCTCGTTCCCCATCACTCCTTAACCCACTGGAGCTCTCTGCCCCAAGACTCAGCACCATTCTCCCTCCAAGTTCCCCAGCAGCCCACCACCTGCCAAAGCCAATGTTCTTATATGGTCTTCCGGCTGTTCTAAGTCACTGGCTTGTGTGACTCTCCTCTGCCTCAGCACCAGGAATGTTCCTTTCTCTGGCTATTCCTTTATAATCTTTCTGGCTAGTCTTCATTCACCCTTCCTTAAATTTTGCTTCCTCCCCTGGGTTCCTTTTCCAGCTTCTTCTCTCATCCTTGTCCCCTCCCTGGGAGAGCCCATCTATTCTTGGGCTCTGACTACAACTTGCACCATGGTACCTCCCACACCTGGTTTCTGCCAGGTGTCAGTGCAGGGCTCCCGATAGACATGGCTGCACCTGGACACCCCCCCCCACACACACACACCCCTCAGATCCTCCCACTCCACTACTGGGCCACCAGCCACTCGGCATCCTCGCCTCCCCCTACTTCCTCACCAACCCCTGTGGAGCACACCTCCTTACTGTCCTGGGCCTGCCCTTCCTTCCACCCCCATGCCACCACCCCATCCAGGTTCTTGATGGCCTGCTAAGTAGTCTCCCTGTCCCACCTTCTTCCCCTCTAATCCATTCTTCACACAGAAGCCACAGTGGTATTTCTTAAATTCTGATTATGTCACTCCCCTGTCAAAAAACTCTTCAATGCCACCCTGTTACTCTCAAGATGGAGCCCTCAGCATGGCATAATCAGCCCCCTGTAGCTGGACCTCTGCCTAACCCTCCATCCAGTCTTACCTCCTGGCTCTCAATATCCCTCCAGCTCCCAACCGTAATGCTGCACAAACACCAAAATACTTAAAATCTAATACACATGCAATGCCTCTGAGCTTCTACACATGCTCTTTCCATCAAAGGAAGAAGCTTCCTTTCACCTTCGCTTTGCTCGGCCAAAGACCACATGATTTGGCATACCCTCTGGGAAGAGGCTTCTCTGCCCCCCAGTCCCCACCATCTCAGTGCTGTCATTTCTCGCAGATCTGACCATGTTAGGTTGTGACTGCTGGCTAGGTCTGCCTGGCTTTTGCTGTCTCTCTTGCTCACTTTTTCTCAAGATGCCCTTGGAACTCAGTCACCATGTTGTGAGGAAGCCCAAATCACATGAAGAGGCTCCCAGCTGATTCTAGCATTAACCACCAGACACGTGAATGAACGAACCTTTAGTTAGAACTCAGGAGTCGGCAAACTTTTCCTGTAAAGGGCCAGACAATCAATATTTTAAACTTTGCAGACATACAGGCTCTGTTACATCTACTTCACCTTGCAATTGTAGCATGAAAGTAGTCATGGGAATTAAAAAAATGAACGAGCATGGCTCTGCTCCAATAAAACTTTATTTAGAAGAACAGGTGGTGGGCCATTATTTGGCTCACCAGCCAGTTTGCCAACCACTTTTTTAAGTGATTCTAGCCCCAAGCCTTCAAGTCTTCCAGCTGCGGGCCCAGACATTCCAGAACAGAGACAAGCTGTTCCTGTTGTGCCCGTCTGAATTCCTAACTCACAAAAACTGTGAAAAATCATTCATGATAATTGTTTTAAGCCATTAAATTCTGGGGTAATTTAATACCCAACCACAGCTCCATGTATAAATCTCTGTATGCACGTGTTAGCTCACACACTCATTTGCTTTTGAGTATTCATGTCATAGACATTCAGAAAGAACCCACCATGTGCAGAATACAAGGGACAGGGACATGAACAAGATATAGTTCCTGGTGCCACAGAGCTGCAAGACAGCAGTTGAGGCATTCCCACCCCAGTGTGAGAGGAACCATGGTGGAGGAGCAGAGAGGCTCTGGGTATCGAGGGGGCACCCAATCTGCCTGGGGCTGGGCAGTCGGGGAAGCTCCTCCCAGAAGAGGCCTGAGCTGTCTGCTGAGGGCAAGGGAACAATGACCTCTCATGCCCTGGGAGAGTGGCTGTGGAAGTAGGGCAGCCATCAAGCCTTGTGCTGGCATCAACCCCAATGAAGGGTCAAATGTAGGTAACCCTACCCCCACACGTCTGATGGGGCATTACCCACTGCAAACACCCCAAACACCATCTTTTTTTGTATAGCGGAACTGAGCGCAGGCACAGACACAGATACTGCCCTCCCTCCACAGTAGAGATGTGTGCTCTGTGGGGGTCCTCATCCCATACACACGAGACCTTGAGCAAATACAAGGCAGGAGCTAAGCAGCTATGCCTTGCTCAAGAGGCTCCAGGGACGAAGGACAACTGTCCAGCTGTTGATATCAGTCCAAAGCAGATGAGCCAATAGAGAAGGGCCAAAATGAGAAAGAGGAGCCAGAAACGGGGGCCGGGAGCCCTGGGCTCTCAGTGGAGACTCCAGTGGCCTGGGCTGGGGGCAAGCATGTGGGGGAGGTGCCTTACCTGGGGTCTGGTAGTTGAGCCTCCGCATCTCCACAGGGTCAGAGGAGTGGGCCAGCAAGGAATCCTTCAGCCCAATCGACTGCTCATCTTTTGAAGATGGGGAATGGGTCCTTTTCCTTGAAGAGGCAGAAGAGAGGTTGGTGAGAGGTCCAGGTGGAGGACAGCGATACATGGAGTAGCCAGCTGCCACAGACCCTCTTGTCAATGGCTCTACCCTCCTCCCACCTCATCCTGGGGTCTTTGAGCGCAGGAGAGCCAGGGGCAGAGCAGCCTTAACATGAGAGAACACAGGGTAAGGGTGGGGCAGGGAGACAACAGGGATGTGGCGTAGACAAGGGGTGGTGCAGCGAGGGAGGAAAGGGTCGCAGAGGCAGTGCTCCTTTGGAGAGAAGGCAGGTCACTGCTGGGCAGTGGCTACCGCCCTCCCTCGAGGCCACCACAGTAAACATGCAAATGACACATAAAATATGCAAACATCACAGGGGGTTGGGCCCCAACTGTCTGGCTACCAGGGTTTCAGGATAAATGACCAGAGCAACAGGGGAGGGATGGGGAAGGTGTCACCCTAACAGGGCAGAGTCCTTCTTCACTGGCCTCAGCTCCTGTGTCTAGAGCAGTGGGTCAGAGACAGACTACAGGGCCCAGCTACTGACAGGAACCAGTGGCCCCTTCTCTGTATACCCGTGTGAGTTTGGAAGGATGAGCTCATATGGATGTGGGAATGTGTGCAAGTATGTGCTTGGACACGCTTCCCTGCTGCTCTGCACTGAGTGCTCTTGGCGTATATGCAGCACTTGGTCCCTGCAACCCTGAGATAACTTCTCAGAGAACAGGGAGCCTAAGGAAGGTCTCAGGGAGCCCAGTTAGTCTGTGATCTCAAGGAAGTGTCTGAGGTCTGCATTATGCCTGTGCCCCTGAGAAGGAGCATCTCCCACAGAGGGCATAAAGTCAAACTGGACAATGACAGCACCCACCCCTCATTCCAGAGAGGACTCAGTCCCAACCCAGGATTCAGCTGAGCTGACTGGACAGTTTGCTACTTAAAAGTCAAAGGCCAGGAGGCTTCCGGTAGAAGCACCCGCCCCCCCCCCATTGAGCCCAAAATGTGCAGAGGGGAGAGTGAAGGGGGAGATGTGTGAAGAGAAGGAATGACTCCTACCTTTCTTGTTTACTAGGTCCCGAAAGACAAGCAAGGACAGAAGAAAGGAATGGTCATTGTTTCCACCAAGCACTCAGGCCCTCTCATGATGTGGGGACACCGAGGACCCATATATGGCACCACATGACATTCACAGGGAGAGCGTTTGCCTCTCCTAGATACCAGGATTCAGAAGGGAATGGGAAGGAGGATGAGTGGGTGTGTGGGACATTCTGCAAGGCTCCACTCATAGGCCTCTGTGCTTGGGACCAGGGAAAGTCCCTGCCTGCAAGGAGGGAGCCAACTCTTCAGGAAATAGGCACTGGGTCCAGGCCAGGATATAGGAACTTGTATGTGGAGATGCACTCAGACACATGGACCAACATACATCCATCTGACAACATGTTCATTGACATTCCTCAAAAGTGACCTCATGCTGGGGGCGGGAGACTGCTAACTTGGACACAGATCCTGAGATGTTCTGTAAAGCATCCAGGGACAGACGGAAGACAGGATGGGGAGGGGTGGGGCTGGGGAAAGCCTCATGGGGCATCAGAGGCTGGAGCTGAGTCTTGAAGGATGAGATGGCAGGTGCCAGGTAGGTGAGAATAGGGTGAGCTACAGAGCAGTAGGGCACAGCCTGAGACCCTGGGGATTGCATATAGTGCAGTGTGATAATGTTGGGTGGTAGCAGGGCTAGACTGCCCATGCACCTGATGGTCAGACTAAAGTCAGGTTTTATCTTGGTAGCCACCAAAAGGTGTTAAACTGAACAATAAAGTGAAATCTTTTGAAAACATCTTTCAGCCTGAGAGGTGTACGGACAGACTCTAAGGGCAGGTCGCTGCAACTATCTAAGAGAAAGGACTGAGACTTAATGTGTCCAGGTCCCTAGCTATGCCCTGCACAGGCATGACCTTGTGGGGAGCCCACCAGGAGGGAGAAGAGGGTATATTTCAATAATATTTAGGCTAGGACTCTCAGAAGATTGGGTAGAGTGGGAGGGGGAGAGGGAGGGTAACACTTGGTTTTCTGGTTGGTAACTTGGTGGATAGGACCACAGTCATTGCGACATGGAGCGGGGCAGAGGAGGACTGTCAGGGGCGGGGTGATGGCTCAGTGTTAAAGACACACTGAATCTGAGGCAGCTGGGGTCCCAACAGGTGCTCAATGAAGATCTGCTAAGTGAGTGTCCATGGGCAGGTGGGCCTGGGCCTCTGGGAGTCATCTAGGAATAGTGACAGAGGAAGATGCTTAAGATAGGACACCAGGAACTGGTGTCTTGGAGATGAAGAGGAAGACACACACTCACATCCACTGAAACAGAGAGACAGACAGACGCAACCAGGATGCGTGTGGAACAGCACATCCAGGTGAGCACACACAGAGGGTCTCCCACCCAAACAGACGTGTGTGTGCAGGTGCAGGTACACAAACATGTATGTTTCTGCTCCTCCTGGCTTCCCAGTGAACTCAGGGTCAAGGCCAGACCAGTGTAGCTGCCTCTTCTTTGTACGCCCAGCAAGGGGCAGGTAGCATCCCCTGAAGCCCTGGGCACAGCACTTACCTCTTGAACAGCAGGATGGCGATGACGATGAGGATGATGAGGATGACCGCCAGGACTGGGCCTGTCACCCACAGCATCTCGGGCTCCTCCTGTTGCTGGGCTGGTGTCACTTGGACCACGATCTCATCCGAGTAGGGGCTGGAGGCATAGCGCTTCTGCGGCCCAGCGGAGGAACAGCGTGGACTGTGAACTCAGTGGGAGACCCTTCCCCACCCCCTGCCTTCCAACCCTGGAGTAATGGCTCTGGGCTGGGTGATGCCTGGTCTCCTGGACCAAGTTAACTTGCACTTGGACTGGGTCCCTGGGAGTAGATAGGCCTGGCTTCCTGGGATCTGGGAGTTGGTGTCTTAGGATCCCTTAGTGGAGGTCTGGGGTCTTTTGGGTTGACCTAGGCCTGGGATCTCAGGGTGTCTGAGACTGGCTTAAGCTTGGGGTCAGGCCTAGGACCTTGAGGTCGCTGGACTAACTGGACCTGGCTGATCAGATGCCTGGTGCAGACGGGGCCTGGGGTCTCAGGGTGCTCAGCACTAAGCCAGTTCAAACAGACCTGGTCCACAGGCTCCTTCAGGGAGGCGAGTACAAAGCACTGGTAGCTCAGGTCTGGAGAGAGGGGCCGGTTGTAGAAGCCCTGGTAGCTCTTCTTGTCCCCCAGGGTGAAGGTCTCGGGGAGCACGTCCACCTGAGCAGCCACATATGGCTTCAGTCGCTCTGACTGCCGCCGCCGCCGCCGCTCACCGCCACCCTGCTCGATGGCCTCTAGAAGCTGCAGAGCAGAGCATGGGAGTCAGCGCTAGTGAGCATGCTACCCCTGGGGTCTGTGGTCTGGGACATCAACTTCCTGGGCTGGGACAGATGGAGGATCCCCTTCCCAGTATGAGGCTACACCTGGCTCAGCCCACTGCCCTTGTAGAATAATGCTGGACACCAGAAACAAAACACAGCCCAAGAAGAGACCCTATGAGTAATCTGCCACTCATCTTAACTAGAAAGAGTCTGTCCACGCTGGCTGCACGGCTCCTTCACTGGAGGTTCCTTTGTGGCCTCTAGACCCAGGGGACTCTCCAAAGTCTAGGGCTTGGGATTTTAGAGGTTCCTCTGCCACATTCCACCTCGGGGAATCTCAGCAGACACCTCTGGAGGATTCTCTGTAAGCCTTTGAGGAAGCCTCAGAAAACTCCCAGGGGGGGTTCTCTGCCAATCCTTTCCTTGGGGCTACCTTGGAGTCCCTCTCCCCAGAGAGGGAGAGTAAGCTGCCAGCCAGAGCAGCCAGGAGAGTGACTTCAAGTATGAGCATGTATCTGGGGGGAGTCACCACAGTCAGTTATTCCAATGAGACTAAGTCACCACTGCAGCCCTGTCCCCTCCCTGGGCACCTCGTCCAGCTCCAGCTCCTCAGGTGTATTCCACCGCGGCGCCAGCATGTTCCCGCCCACACGGTCAATGGGCACCACCACGATGTAGAACCACCTGGGCGAGGCAGAGCAGGAATTAGGACTGCCATCACCCAGCCTCGCCCCTCCTCCTGGAGGTTGTGTTTGCACACCTGACGAGCGAGGGCTCCTGCACGAGGGGCATGGAGAGGGTGAAGCGGCCGTCCTCTATGTAGGCGGAGGCAGGCAGTGGCTTGTGTGGCAGGAGGTCGGGGGCTGTGCGGATGGACACGAGGTGCTGCAGGCCCCCCGCACTGCTGCCACGATTCATCAGCACAAAGGAGTATTCTGTGTTCGGCTGCAGGTCTGCGATCAGCTTCCGCATCAAGTGCCCGTCCACCTCCACACTCTGCCCATTGTAAAGAATCTGCAGGGGATGGAGTGGGGTGACAGGGCTGTGAGGCTCCTCACTGCAGGCCTCTTAGGACAGCGTGTGCGCGCGCGCGCGCGCGCACACACACACCCACCCCTGACCAGGACCCTGCCTTGCAAACACACACACATAGCACACAGCAGGCCCATGTATGTGCGGGGCTTTGCTAGTGGTGGCCCTTACTCACCTTGAATGGTACAGCAGACTTGTAGGAGTCGGGGATCTCCCAGCTGAGCAGCACAGAAGTTTTCATTGCAGCTGCCACACGGAAGTTCTTGGCAAACACTGTGGAGGCATAAAGAGGGAGTGAGCTCTGACTGAGTGGCTGGGGTGGGCTGAGCAGGCTAGAAGAGTTCCCCACCAGGATGAGATACTGGTTGGGGCAGAGGAGTTCAGGAATGGCTGCAGAGTACCAAGCATACCCACTCCCAGCCAGCTTGAAACTAGAGTTCAACTGTCAACCCAAGCTCTCCCATATAGTGAGCACTGGACAGAGAGGGCGAGGACACCGCAGGATCACCAGTCAGATCTCCTGCAGTGCTTGCCTAAAGCTCAAATGCAGACACCAGGTCAGAGTCACCAGAGAAGAGTGGATTATGGTCGTGAGAAGCCTGTGGGCCCCACCCCAAAGTACAGTGGAGCTCGTTCACTAGAGGTCAGTGGGTCATGGCCCCAAGGTTAGTGTCACACACCCCAGGCCAGTAGGTTACACACCTAAGAATAGTGATGCAGTCAAAAGAGGTAAGTGGGTCATGGTCATGAGAGATTGGAGGGTCACACAGCAGAGGTCAGTAGGTCAGACAGCATAAGTCACAGATCACACACCCGAGAACATGGCACTCGCTTACTAGAGGTTAGTGGGTCACGGTCATGAGAGACTGGAGGGTCACACACCATAGGCTGGTGAATCACAGCCACTAGAGATCAGTGGTCAAGGAGAGCAGAGGTCCCCAGGCACAGCCACGCATGGGTTGGCGCTGACGTGCCCTGCAGCACACACCTTGCTCCACAGGCATGGTCCGGGACTGGATGCTGGGGCTGAGTGGGCCAGCACCTTTGCTGGTATGTGCACGGACCTTGACATCATAAGTGGTGTCTGGCTTGAGGCCAGAGAGTGTGAGGCGGATGTCAGTGGTGACGTTGTACAGTTCCTGCTGGCTGTTGATGTCTCGGTACACAACAGTGTAGTTGATGATACGCCCGTTCCTCTCTGCTAGCACCGGTGGATCCCAGGCCACGTCCGTGGTCAAGGTGGTTAGGCCTATCACATGCAGGTTCTGGGGAAAGCCGCTGGGCACGTCCTCAGGGGTTGTGATCTCCTTCTCGAACTCCTCGCCTGGGCCAGCCCGGTTCTCGGCGGCCAGCCGGAAGATATATGTAGCACCCTTGTGTAGGCCAGTGACCGTAAAGTGCTGGTCATCCTTACCAAAGTCTATGGTGGTGGGCCGGGCCTCGTCTGCCCGGTGGTACTGCAGTCGGTAGCCCAGCAGCTCGCCAGGCAGCTCTTTGGGTGGATGCCACTGGAGCAGTGCAGTGTTCATGGCTGTGGTGCTGACCATCATGGTGGGACGGCCTGGGACTGAACAACCACGCACGGGGCTCTGGCACTGCCCTCCTCGTTGCCCCCACCTCCCGCTCTGCCTGACCCTTCACTTACCTGCCCCAGTCGTTGTAACAATTTTGGGCTTGCTGCGGGCACCATCCCCCTTGGTGGTGTAGGCGGCAACAGTAATGGAGTAGGTGGTCTCTGGGGTCAGGCCACTGATGGTAGTTTCCTGTGAGGGAGGAGGAGGAGCCTGTTTCCATCACAGGAGAGCAAGGGGAGGGCATGTTTGCTACTTCAAGACCTTGCCTTGGGGAGCCCACAGGACACACACAGCCAGAGGTCCTGGAGGTAAGGGCTGTTCCATGCTGGACTCTGCTGGAGGCAGGGCAGGTGGGTGGGATGTGTGCCCAGGAGAACCCACCCATCCCAGGAGCTGCACACCTGGGGCAGGCAATTCATTCTTCCTTTCAGGCAAGAACAAAGGACCACACAATTTCCTTTGTGTCACTGTTCTGTAAATGCCACCTCGAGAGGTTGATACACTGACACACACAGGGCACAGTGCTTTACATGTACACTGCCCCTTGCAAGTCCCCTGGCATGCACACACAGCTGTGGGCCTAAGCTCCTCCTGTGTGAGCAGGTGTCAGGCTGCTGGTGGGCATGCGCACACACATACACATGCACACAAAGGAGTGAGGCAGAGGGGGTCAAGGTACCACCAAAGAGGACCAGGCCTGCCCCAACCTGACCCCCCTCCAAGCCCCTGACTCAAGAGAATACATTATTCCACAAACTATCAGTTTTCTCATTTGAACACAGACTTAAATTTATCTACTGAGAGGGGAGGAAAGACAGGGAGGAGAACAAGGTCCCCCCACACCTGGAAATGGACTTCTGCCATCAGTTCCCCGTGATGTTGGGTAGACAGGGCAGAGTCTTCCTGTGTTGGCAGAACCTGCCCATAAACCCACCTACAGCAAAGACATCGCTTCCGGACATGCGGAGAAACACCACCAGAGGCCAACCATACCACACAGAGGGAAGAATAGGGAGAAGGGAGGGGACCGCCGTGCAGTGGGACCAGAGCTGTCACCATCAACCCTGTTGTCCCTCCAGCTCTGAGCCTCAGACGGGGCCCCTGCAGCTGCCAACCCCTTGCAGGCCCCCTCCTGCCCCAGCTGGAGGGTCTCCCAGGGCTGAGCCTTCAGAACACACCGCCGCCAAAACCCAGCTCCCCAGACTTCCCTCCTAGCCTGTGCCCAGAGGCAGGTGATTTTTCACTCCAGGGATCAATAAGGCCTAATGATCAGGATTGGATTTAACTCCATCCCTGTCTGGCCGAAGCAGGGGCCAGGCCCTGGTCGATCATGAACATTGGCCTCAAATTGTTGCTCGCCAGGTGAGAAGGAAGGATTAGAGGCAATGCCAATCACTGCTCAGCTCGGTGCTTGTGTCTAAGAGCCAATTTTCTCTGGATGTGGCTGGTGCCCTGTGGATCTTGGCAGCTCAGGCTGGGAGGAAAGGCAGGAGAGGGGAAGTGTCCCAAGAACCCAGCCTGACCCAGGTCTTGCCCACACTCGCACACCTGTTACTTACATAGTCCTCGGACTCCTCTGGCCGCCACTGACCACGGGAGAGGGAGAGAAAGGAGACAGGATGAAGGACTTGGTCTGGCCCAGAGGGGGCCTGGCCCGGGGAGGACAGATGGAAGGCTTGCCTCTGAAGTGCCAATGGACGTAGCACCCCAGGCCCATTCCCTAAGATCCCAGCCCTTGCCTCACCAAGCACTAATTGTGTGTGGCAGGGATGAGAAGGACAGGGATAACCTGAGGACAGGCACCCATGTCAACAGTGAAGAGGGGAGAGGGTGTGCTGGAACTAGGAAGATGAGTGAACACTACCTGGAGGTGCCTCAAGGGTCAGGGGGCCAGACATGGGCATGGGTCTGCTAGCTCCGGAAGAGAGAGCGGAAGACCCACAATGGATGACTAGGTGATCATATGTTCTCTTTGCCTGGGAAGGTCCTGGCCTACATGTGTTATCATGGTATGATTATTCCCCTTTGAAAGACGCCCAGTCGAGACAGTAACTTACATAGTCACCCAGGAATGAAGATTGTCCCAGGGACAGTTAAGAATTTTATCACGGCTGGGGTTGGTCAAGGGGTTACCTGGCCAGCAAGAGTATGAAGGCCTTGGGTGCCAAGCTCAGAGCCAGGGCCTGCCTCATAGGATCAGGGATCCACTGAGACCCCTGTCCTTCCTGGGGATACCTGATCACCAAGACAGGTGAAGGATGTGAGGTCTCCATACGAGGCCCTACAGGACTAGGAGCCTGGGGACTGGCCAGTGTTAACCAAAGCATAGGAATATGGCCCATGACATCTCCAGGCTAGAGGGATTGTGGGGTCTTGTGGCCAGATTACCCTCACACAGTATCCACTGCTCTAGCCTGACATGGCCTAAGTCTCTTCTGTTTGGAAAGTGCTGTTCAAAGTCCCTACAATAGCATGTAGGGGAAGCCATCAATAGGCCCCTGTGGCCATGGCCACTTTCTAGGGTGTAGCCAGGCCCACCTCTGCTCCAGGTTCCTTGCCTAGGGGGCATGGAGGTTCTCTCACGTGGTTCTTCTCCTGGGTCAGAGGTAGAACCAGGGAAAATAAGGGACAGAGTGAAACCAAAGGGAGGAAGAGAGACAAGGAGGGGGCCAGAGGGGTGGCAGAAAGGGGAGAGAAGAGAATGAGACAGATGAAAACACAGCCACTGAGAAGGAAAGAAACAGAAAGAAAAAAAAAAAAAACAGGGATGAAAGGAAACAGAGAGATGGAGTGAGAGACCATAAGAAACAGAGAGACAAACCTGAGATGGAAACAAGCACAAAGCAAGGAGACAGGTCTGGCTCTAGCCTGGCCCCTGGTGGGGTAGAGGGGTGGCGGAGGGGAACAGACCACATGGCTCTTTCAGTACTGATGGGGCCCTGGGCTGAGCAGATGGTGCTGCTGGGTGAAGGACAGGCTGTAGGTGTCCTTGACAGGACAACTCAGGGGACAGCTGGGTCTACTGGGTTAGAGCACGATGACCCAGTCCCAAGGGGCCACAAGAGCAGGACCTCTGTGTTCAGCTGGCTTCCCTGGAGCATGGGCACATGTCCTGCCTGAGGCAAAGAGAGCAGAGTGCCTGGGACTGTGGATCAGCATCTTCCAAACCACTCTGGACCAGAAGGGGGCACCCAAAGTGGCTTTTCTGGAACCCTACTGGCCTCAGCTGCAGCCACTGGCCCCTAAGGATGGGAGGGGCTGGAGGGAGCCCATTCCCAGAATGTTTCTGGGTGGGTGTGTCTGCTGAGGCACAATGAGGAGCTCTCAACCTGCCCCAGGAATGCAGGCGGGTATGCACACCCACCTCCTCTGCCCCTTGTCCTCTTATCGCTGGCAGACTGAGAAGAGGAAGAGGGCATCCTCTGGGCAGAAATGCATTTTGCTTCTGAGAGCTTAACCCAGCCAGAGCTGTGAAGGCCTGTCTATGCGGGTGCGTCCACCACAGAATACCGCATATGTGTTTGTACCTCTGCCCAGCCTAGGCAGGGGTGAAAAGCTGGATGGGGAGGGCATGGGGGAACCTGGGCTCCTCCCCCAGCTGGCTCAGCACTGGCCCCTGTGTGTCCCCCCAAGGCTGGGATTCTGGACTAGGGGGACCCTGAGTGTAGTTCTCACCAGACGTTACAATTCTTCAGCAGAATGTTCTGAGAGGGGACTCATGACAGTACTTAGAGCCCTTTCCCAGGAGTCCAGAGACTTCTGCTCCAACCTCAGCCAAGCACTCACTTGCTGGCTGATCTGGATGACTCACAATAACCTCTCCATACCCCAGGTTCTTCCTCTGAATAGCAAACCAGTGTGCAGAGCACCTGGTGGCCTCACCCTAACCTCATGGATATTGCCATCCCCAGAAGACAGAAGAACAGAGAGCAGGGTGACACTGGCTGGATGAGCTATCCTTTGGAGGGCCAGGACAGAGCAGCAACCCCCCAACCCACACAAACACACAAAAAACCCCAAACTCACTGCCTGCGAGTTGGATCTGACTCATAAAACAACTTCTTGGGTTTCTGACAAGGTATCACTACAGAAGTAGATTGCCCAATCTTCCTTCCAAGGAGTAGCTGGTGAGTTTGAACCGCCAGCCTTCTGGTTAGCAGTCAAATGCCTTAGATACTATGCCACCAGAGCTCCTACCAGCTTAGCCATTTACTGAGCTCTGCAGAGCCAATGGCTCGGAAGGGAGAGCAGCCAGCCTATGAGTGCTTGTCTGCCCTCTGGCTGTTAGAGGAGGGATGTCCAGCCCAAAACTGTCTAGGAGGAGGGCATGCCTCAAAAGCCCATCTCCCTGTGACTGTGAAGGCGCTTCCTACAAACCATGAGGGTGGAAGTAAGGTGGGGGCTTGAAGTCTGTGCAGGGGGTGGCAATGGAGACCTGGGTCTGATAATCTCACTGCTGTTTTGGTGGCTGAGCCAGAGGCATGAGCCAGGCTTATCACCAGGGCAGATAGGCCTGCCAGGGGCTAAGCTGGCACAGCTCAGGCACACCAGAAAGATACCCAAGGCAGGAGGAGGAGTTTCCTGGAATCTAGTCCTAACCTCCTGACCTCAGTTCCTCCCACCTGATATAGCAGGGCCTCACTGGTGTCACCATGAAGGAAAGGCAGCCACTAAGTGCTTCTGAGAGTGGGCAGGGGAGGAGGAGCCAATATGGGCTCCAAAGAGGAGGTGCCAGTCTCTGTCCACCCTTCCCCATGGCCTCCTTTCTGCCCCACCCCACCCCCAATGACACACCTGAGCCTCAGCCAGCATGACGTCCTGGATAACAGGTGGGCCACGGGGCTCGCCATTCTCTAGCCGCACATAGGTGACCTGGTAGCCGCGTATCTGGCCGTGCTGCTTGCTGGGGACGGGCAGCTTCCAGGAGACGTGCACAGCAGTAGAGTTCAGTGGTTCCACCTCCACCTTCCGTGGTGGTCCACTGGGCACTGGGGGCCAGGTGGAGAGGGTAGTCAGGCCTAGTGGTATTGATCCTGGCTCACGCGGGCATAGCAAACTCTAAGGCCATGCCTCTGCTCCCTCTCCCCACAGGAAAGCACTGGACGTAGTTTCCTTAGATTGTCTGTCCCTAGTGAGGAATGTGGAGGGCTCCCTCTCTTTGCCGGGGGAAGAGCTCAGCACCGGCCCAGCCAAGCCACTGGCCGAGGCTACCTCACTGGTTAGAAGGCAGAGGTGGGGGAACAGGCAGAGCTGGAACACCTGCCCTCTCACCAGCCCCAAGCCAGCACACCCTGTCCTACTTTGTTCTGGGTCCCCTTATCATGTCAATGCTTAATAAAGGTGCTCTTCTGAGAGCATCACTTGCACCAAGCTCCACTCCTGACCTCTCAAACCTTAGGTGGGCTGCTTCCCCCTGCTAAGCCTCTGAAGGATCCAGCTCCCTTGGACACAGCCCAAGAGCTGTGACTGAAGCACAGGCTGTCCCATAAACCACATCTCCCCAGTGTGGGCAGTTAAGCCTGCAGCATAAAGATGAGTCTGCTAGGTATGTGGAAAAGCAAAGGCCCTGGTGTAAGCCAAGGCTGGGTGCCGCCCCGCCCTGCCCTCATGTGGTGCTGCCTACCGTCCTCGTCGGTGCGCACCAGCACTGGGGTGCTCTCAGGGCCAGGGCCCACATCTGTGTGTGCCCGCACCCACACCCGGTACTCCGTCCACTTCTCCAGGCCCACCAGGTCCCAGCTGGAATGCTCGCGGCTGATGCCGTCCACCACATGCCGCCCACGGTCCTCGCCGTCCACCGCCTCGTAGGCCACGGAGTACTGGGTGATAACGCCGTTGCGGCTGTCTGCTGGCGGCGGGACCCAACTTACCCGGACTGTGGTGGAGCCCGCGCTCACACAGGTCACCTTCTGGGGAGGGGCGGAGGGGGCTGGGGGAAGACAAATGGGAGGAAGCAGGCAGATGGAGGGTAGGGATCACAGGTACAGTGACTGAATCACAGTGGGTTGGAGACTCACCCAGGCAGGCTACTCCCCCAGGTGCTGCAATAGCCACCCCAAGGCCCCACTGGGCAGCCCACCTCCACTGATGCAAAGATTGCCTGGCTCCCTCTGAACCACAGATTCTTCACACAGACGTGCACACACACAGACAGGGTTTCCCACACACACATATGGCGTCTCTCACACATATGGTACTCTAACACAGCGTCTCTCATGCACACACGAGGTCTCTCCCACATATGCCATTTCACACAAAACATACACAGTATTGGATACACACAAGCACATGGCCGTCCCATCCCACTCCTCATCTCCGGCCACACACATGACCACATATGGAGAAGCTCTCCAGGCCTACTGTGCCCACAGCTCCTCTCTTCTGAGACAAGCGGCCCTAATGTCTTTTCTGGTGTGAGGCTGCCCTGGCCTTTGCCTGCCTGGACAGGGTGTCTGTGTGTAACCCACAGGTAACCACAGAGACCAGTGGTTGGATATGAAGGTGACCAATGGCCACTGGGGCTCTAGCCCTTATATTCAAAACTGCTTACCCAAACCCATCAAGCTGCCTAGCAGACAAAATCTCTGTGGTGTGGAGGAAAGGTGCCTAACAAGGGTCCCATCACTCCACAGGTACCATGAGGGTTAGGAGGCAAGGCCTGTGCCCTTACTGTTCCCTAGTGACAGTTTCAGACCCTATTCCTGCTGAAGACTCTGCTGCCAAGGCGTGGGCTTCCC